TTCACAAATGAGATATTAGACAAGAGTCGCGGATTTAGACGGCTGTATTATCTTCATGCAGTCACGCGCAGCTCAGAGCAGAAAGTAAAGATCACCGAGCCTTTAGCAACGTGAAACAATTTCGTTTCATTGGATTACATGCATGGCCTTATGGCCTTAAACTGGTTCATGATTCTTCCTACAAGATTTCATAAGCTTTCTGCAATAATAATTCACTACTGGCAACCAACACGGCGATTAACCAGTTAAAGCTCTGTGCTGCATTCTGCCAGAAAAATTTTCAATCCCTTGTCTCTGCAAACACAGTACCGAACGACGAGCTATAAGCATTGAGATATCGGCAGCCTGTCATAAGTAAGCAACGTGGAAATTTAGGCTAGTTGGTTGGAGTTAATTTTGGAGGAACCACTATGTCTTGCTTCTGTCATCTTGTCTCATCCCAGTTCAACCAAAGTGGGCTTGCTACAGCCCGACGTCACCTGGCATGTTTTACCAAGACATGGGAGCAATCATGTCTCTGCTACATACTCCGCACTTTCAATCTGCTGTTAATATAAGTATTAAATTATAACTACAGAACGCGTTCCTGTGGCTTGCTACCCATGAGGTGCTCTATCTCCATGTTTACCACGATGCTGCTGCTGCTGCTCCGAACTTTTTTGGCAATTGTTTTTCCTGATATTTTTTCGTATGGGGCTGGGAACCAATCAAGATGTTTTAAAACACAGCTTTTTAAGGGCGAAGCTCCTTAAGGCGTGGGTCGTGCGTCACCGATGTATGTAGTAGTAGTAGGTAGATACCGGTGGCATATACCCGATCTAGAGCGGGTATGTGCCACAGGGGATGCGAGATTCGAGATGGCGGTACATGGAGTGTTCACTTGATGAAGGCGCGGACGGACGCATGGACGTGCGGACAGATCGACGGACGTGCGGACGTGCGGACGGATGGAGGTACGTACGAAAGGACAGATGGATGGACGGATTCACGGATGGACGCATGGACAGACGAACAGACGGATGGGCGGACGCATGGACAGACGCATGGATGGTCACGCGGACAGACGGAAGCAAGAATGAACGAACAGACAGAAGCACGAACGGTATGACAACCGCTTCGTCCCACTCATCATCATTCACTCCGTGGGTATGTTGTGCTATTTTTTCACAGTCATTTCTTTCTGTACTAAACAACGGAAATTAAACTTTGATTTGATTTGATTTGATTTTCACATGTTTAGACATGGGCTGGTGGAACATGCAATACTGCGATAGCTTGCGGGTGTTCCTGCATGCAAATTTCAAATTTTTATTAATAAAAATTTCAATTTTTTAAACGCTTGGCGCACTTTCTGATTTAGAGCAATGATTCTAACGTAGTCTATATTTTATTAAACTGAATTTTTAATGCAGTGGTTTCACTGAATTTCATTCAGCGTATGCTATTGCACTCAGCCTCAGTAGTTCGCAGGAATACATCCGGATTTTTTCTTTTATTCAGCCAGATGCCGAAACCGAAGCTGGGCAAAATTAGAGGAGAGAGTTAAGAACACCTATCTATTTTTCATTTTTTCAAAATTCAAAACTAACATTGCTGATTTCTGATGTTTGCTAAATGAAGCATTTCTAAATACACATAACATTCGCAGCAGCCCCCTGCGAATGTAAGCACTGATTTATGTGATGAAGGCTCGTGGCGGCGAATCTTACACAGCCCGGACTTGGGTCTACAACTACTGGCTGCCCGGAGAGTCCGGGCCATTGAGGAGGGTCTTCACCTTCCTGTGCCGACCTGGGTGAAGCCGCAGACTGGTTGAGGGCGTCTTAGGACTTCGTTCAACTAGCCCCTCTGGTGTTTACATTAAATTCTTTTTATATGTGTTTGTCGCAGCAGCCCCATTTTCAAAGCGACGCAGTTCGACGCAATCGAATGACACAGTAAAAGCATACCACCGGTGAAAGTATATTGCGTAAAATATGACTATATTTTTCACCCAGACGAGCCTCTTGATGGGGCATAATTATGAGCACGAATAAAGTAATCTGAATTTTAAATCTGCACACTGTGATCTATATAAGGAGAACTAAGGGACGAAGAGGACTACAGTATATATTTAAGGTAGGGTTGGAAGTTACATCTATTCTCTTTGTTCTTCCACTTTACGAGTGCCTACAAATATACTACACACATACGGCCTACATACAAACGGAGGAGGAAAGGACCCACACCCTAAAGAGCTTCACCCCTAAAAGAACTGTCTCCACTTTGCCCTGTTCGCAGACTTACTGTGTTTTGAGCCGCTGGGCGCGCGAGCCAGTGTGGTAGTGCGTTATGGCAGTGCCACAGCGAAGGCGTGACCCACCAGGTGAGTGCCCCCTACCCGATTTTTATTTCTATTATTTTAAAGTAATGTATAACACCTAATGGCACACGACCACTTCTGCCTGTGCAGCCCCCGCTCCAAATCAAGCAGATGCCTACCCCGGAAAAGCTTTCATCTAAACGCTTGCGTTTTGGTAGTCTTCTTCTAGCCGCCAAAAAATGCCGCCGCGACGGTGGTGCGACCCGGGCCTCCCCCTACCGTAGAACGTATAGCTTTCTTGGCACGAATCGTCGCGCAGGCACTTTTTGAGGCAACGCCGTGGCCGTGGTTACGTGTGCTCTCCTGCTTCAGCGGGTTGAATTTTTATTAAATAAATATTTGATTGGTATGTGGAGTTTAACGTCCAAAAACCACCACATCATTGTGACAGACGCCATAGAGGAGGGCTCTTGAAAGCTCGACCACCTAGAGTTCTTTCACGTGCACCGAAATCAGAGTGCACGGGCCTACCCTGCTTCAACTGGCATCTTGGACCAATGCTTTTGAAAGTTTATTCGCTCTCTCTGTACGGAGTTCATCTTGTACGATTGGGTGCTGCACCGACCAACATACCTTGGCCGACAAAGTTTCGGGTAAAGACGCCCATGCCGTTTGACTTGAAGGACAGTGCTGCAAAAAGGGATATGAGGCGAGATTGCGCGTGCGCTGGCATAGGAAAGCTTTCAGCGAACGCAAGCATCACGCCAACCACAACTTAGAGAAGTTCTTTGTCAAATGTGAGTCCAATTCGTCTCGACGACAGAAGCAAAAATGAAAAAGTGAAGGGTGGGGCCACAGCAGGCGGCTGAGGTGCCGCCAAGTGGGAAAAAGTGACATGACATAGAGAGGTGGTAGGGAGGTAAGCCACTGCCGTAGTTTTGCACCATGGTTATGGCAGAGAACCGCAGCTACGCAAAGAATCGACAAACTTCGGAGCAACAGGGTCTAGACAGGAATGTAGTATGCATGTGGTTTATAGCTATACCGAGCTTGTAACCCACCAAGTCATTTTAAAAACACTGCGTTATTGTTAAAATCGAGGCGGACCTGCTAAGAGTTGTCGATTGAAAAACTGCGCGTTTAGGAAAACCTGCTCTATTTCAGAAAAATACGTAATTTCATTCCCGCTCCATTCCGTGCGAACGGCGCTTAATTTAATTCCTCCAAGCGCCGTCCCTATTTTACTCTACACTGAATTCAACACAAGTAATCCGGAATACTTTTCTGAGTACTTCTCCTTAGCCCTTGACTATAATTATTTTGGTCCAATACGGCATTTACGACAGGAGACTGGTGTTAGAAGCCCACAATAATTTCATTCGTGAAGCAGCAATGATGTATTATCAGGAGATTATCAAGTGGACGAAAAGCTGTGAAATCAGGCTCGACAATATTATCTGCAGCCGCCACGGCTACCATTCAGTCCGTAGACTCTCTGGTAAGCAGCCGAGCGCCCTATCCACTATGCCACCATGGCAGGAAGTAAATAAATAAATAGAGAAATAAATAAATCAATAAAGAAGTATTGCTGATGTTGAAAGGGCGTGGTCGTTTCATGAATGAAAATTGAATTTCAATTCCACTGAAGAAATGGCAAACGGGCTTGAAAAGAAACGCCATAGAAAGAAAGATCATCCCTTAACAATTCAGGTGACATGCGACGAAAACTACGAAAGATTCAGCGTGGCAATGAAGATCTCAATATATTTTACGCGTTCAAAGCCCATGCGACATAGGCTGCAGCTGCAACACAATAAAAGCCGTACGTTGAGGTACATCTATAGGGTGGAGTACAATGGTTGCTGACCTCGCAGCTTCGCATAGTGTCTCTAATGATTACCAACAAATCGAAATAGGTAAAATAATGAATTAAGTGTCTCAACTGAGGTAATGAATTTGTTCGACATGCAGAAGGGAGACAGCCTCATTCAACGGCGCGGAACTATTTTTTTCAGTGACCTCCTCAGCATTTTTAGCAAGTCGATCACCAACGAAACAACAGCAACACGTTCGCTTTTATTAGATGAATAATCGATTGAACTATTGTCTCTTCACAGACTGCAGCAACTGTGGTAGCTTGTATACACTAATCCGGTAACTAATAATAACGGAGTTATGTGCATGTTAGACAGGTCACGGGATCGAATCCCGGCTTCGGCGGCTGCATTTCCTATGGAGGTGGAAATGTTGTAGACCCGTGTGCTCGGATTTGGATGCACATTAAAGAACCCCAGGTGGTCGAAATTTTCGGAGCCCTCAACTACGGCGTCTCGCATAATCATATGGTGGTTTTGAAACGTTAAACCCCAGATATCAATCAATCATGTGCATGTCAGATTCGCTTCAAGATTACCGCTTTATGTCTACGTTCTTCTTCGTTACAAATAAAGTTAAGCTTCGGATTGACATCCTCGTTATGTTCTAAGTTGTTCACATGGCAGTGTTGTTGCGCTTAGATAAAAAATGTGGCATGTAAGACCCTGGTGTCTTCGTTTTTGAAATGCATTTTGTGCCTACACAAGCACAGCGTTTAAAATTTTGAGGTCGAATCTGAGAACCGAAATACTTTGTAAATTCACATAAAGACCGTAATTTTCATTAAAACTTCGACAAAATCTATCAAACTCGATATACTCACATGTCAACTTGCGTGAACGGATACTATCGATCGATGACATCAGTGTACCCCATATTCACTGTACAATAAAGTATCATGATGATGTTGATGGTCCATTTCCTGAAATATTAAACATTTGAGCGATGTATGATTCATCTCAGGTGACTCCTCATCGTAAGGAATTGCGTAACAATAATTTTTTCACCCAGGAATATAGTACTCGTGTAAAGGCCGCCCTCATGTCATAGCCACCCCCAAAGGCTTGTTGAACAATGCGCTTAAATTATCTAGTTTCATGAGCGTGAAAGTAGCAAAAGCAGAGACGAGGTGCTGCTGTTGACTAAATAGCAGGCACTGTATGGCTGAGCGGGGCATCCTTTGATGTGTGCCCCTGGCCTTCGGAAGCGTGAAATATTGTTTTCTTAAAGGCAGTAGAGAAAAAGTTAAGGATGGCTGGAATCTCGAACAAATTCGATGAAATGGGGGACGACCTCATCCGGGACTGAGGCCAGTCTGAGGCTCCGGTGAGTAGTTTAGGGGGTAGTATAAGGAGTAGCATTCTTAGGGCTGCGTGGGTGGGCAAGGGTTGTTTCTTGCTTCTCCCGCCACAAGCGCGTACTTTCGTTCGATAAGGGCAATCAGCACTGAAAACACATGTGAGAAAAATAGTTATCTTCTTCTCCGTGTAATCACCGCACCCGTGATTATCAAACAGAGATTAGGGAAACGAAACATGCAGCCGTCACACGAGCATAAACATTGTACGCTTTCCGAGCACATATAACGATATTATGGTCTCTAATTTACACGGGTTTTCGCTTATACATACGAGGTTTTTAAGCAATCATAAATGCATTCACAGAGCTCATAGATATGTATTAGCGGGGCATACAGCCCTTTGTATAATACACTTGGTTATTTTCGCGAACACGTTTTATCACACTTGCAAATATTAGTATGGGCTTTTGGATAACGCCTTCAGCACCCATGCCAAATAAGTTGGCAGGTATAGCATTGGCGAGGTAACGATGCAAGCAAAAAATATCGATGCTTTGCATACCTACAAAACCATTGACACTACAACTGGAGAGAGCGTGAGAGCAATTTATTGAACAGAGAATTCTGGCGGCGTATTATGTAGGGCGCTTGCAAGCTGCTTTGTATAGGGGGAGGGGATTAAGGACAGAAAAGCCTTAAGGGATGAAGGAGGATGGCAGGAAAAGAGAAGAAAAAAAGAAAACACTATGATCTTCGTTTCTCCACATTATCGTGATGATTTAGGTTACGCTGAAGTGCTAAAACAATGTCCTCTAGGAATTGGAACAAAAATTATAAATGTGGTGTTGCAACGTAAAAGGAGCAGGTCCAAGCATTTTTCGGAAATCTAGCATTTCGTGCGAAGTTCAGCTTGATTTACTTTGGAAACAAGATCTTTCTTCTCTGTATGCTTGGCAGTCTAACAAAATCTAACAAACTGGTAGTAGACGCCACTCTGGTAGTCAACAGTGTAATGCACACTTTTGAATTCTTTGAATAAGATTACACGCAACACTCACCTGATTTTTCAGTGTAATGCAAACTAAAATAAGGGCACGTAACGGGCGAGCAACCACGCGAGTAAATAACGTACCTAAAGCCACACAAACGAATGGCAAAGCGCTCCAATTTCCAGGTGTTTTCCTGGTATCGACGTAGACAGGAAGAGCGATCTTCAGCAGAGAGTAGTGGCATTGTCACTGCTCGCGCTCACAGCAGCGATTGTGAACCTACGCCATTTGTTATTGCAACTTCTATTGCTGGTGGAGTTTCTTGGAATAGAGAGCAAGTGTTCTGTGTTATTCTGCCCCAATATCACTAGATGCAAAACGGTGGTCAGCTCATTTTCCTTTTGCTTTCCGGAATGCGAATAGCACCGAGAAAACAAAGGCATTGAAAATATTTTTCAGGGTGAGCCCCATTGAGATGGTATTGTTGCTAAGGTACTCGGCTGCTGACCCACAGGTCGCGGGATTGAATCCCGGCTTCGGCAGCTACATTTTCAATGGAGGCGAAATTGATGTAGGCACATGTGCTGTGATTTTGGTGCTCGACAATTAAACCCAGATGGTCGAAATTTCCGTAGCCTTGAATTTCGGCGTTGCTCGTAATCGTATGATGCTTTTGGGACCTTAAGCCCCACATATTATTCAAATTAACCAATCAATTTTTCAGAATGACATCATTTGCTACACTAACGTCCTACGCTGCTGTAAATGAAAGCGCATGTATTCGCACACAGCCGTTCGTCTTTAGCAAATGCAGAAAGTCGCAATACCTCTAATTTATGTTTTAAGATGTCAGCAACGGTATTTTCCGGTAGAGCAAAGTGAAGGTATGTACAGATTTTCAAAGTTGACTAACATCGTGTGCGTTCCAGATACTCTTGAGTTATGCTGATACGTATGCTGCTGATGTACCCGCGACCACGATGGTAGGTGAATAAAAAAGCACCACCAGTGCTTCACCAGACCTATCAAGTTTCTCGCAGCTGTCACAAGATAGCTCAACTGGGTTTTTAGCTCCAAAGCTGGAGTCTCTAACTCTTATGAGCTACCAGGATGCTATCATGAAATACATTTCTGCAAAGGAGCGGGACAATGAACAAGTTGGAAGCAGGAAGAGCTGAGGTGAAGCCTAATGGCAAATCTTTTGAAGGAAATACTATCGCGTACCTCAGATATCAATCATTCAAGAAAGAGTTTGCACATGATCGAGGAATGAAGAATATCCAAGATGATTAAAATCTAAACAGAAGTATACTTCTTGCTCCAATGGTAGGTTTCCGAACAAAGTACCACATCGTGTGTCCCAACTGTACACACTCGGAAAAGTGTTTAAGACCAGCCACTTCTGTGTAGCCGACAAGAACAAAGCTTTCGTAATCATAATAGATGAGAAATAATATGGGCATCGTTGATCAATGTCATGAACAGCTAGCCGCCAAAGCATGAAAGAAATGTGGGATGAAGACTGTCATATGTGGGCCGTGGGCCGCCTGTGAAAAGTTGGCGGGCCGTATGCTGCACGGAGGGTGCGTCTTTCATTTAAAGTATCTTAAGCTTTAGAATGTAGCACATCTAGTTACAATCTGCCATCCCTACGGGACCTCTTCGCTCCCTGCGCACAACTGGTGTTTCGCATTCTCTTTTTTTATTGTGATAGCAATTTTATGGACACTCCCAGCTGACTTTTACCATCAGCATGAGTCGCCCTTGTCATGCCCCATGAATATATCTATGGCATTAAAGCCGAAAGATAAACAGATGCGTTGTACTTCAGATGCCATCCATTTATTCTAATCCATTGGACCTCTTCTTTGTCGGCATCTCCTACCATCACCTTGTTACACTCTTCCCCCTCCCCTTGACAAAGTCTCCATTCAGAAGATACAAAATGATGTCGTGGCTGGCTAACATGAACAATGTCCGAGGTTTTACCCAAAAGAAACACGGAGTGGATGATTGCATACTTCTCTGGTGAGACTGCATAAAATCTTGTAGGGACCTTTCATGACAGAACCCAGTTTGCCATTGTTGGGATTTTATGGTGTCTCGTAAAGGGTATAGTCACCCACTGGAAACTCGATCAGAAGAAATTTATGATCATATCTTTGTTCCTATTGTGAATGGCGATAGAAATATTACCAGCAGCTTTCCGCGCTTCTTCCTACTTCTCGCTGTTTCAGTACAGTTGGATAAGATAGGAGTGTTCTGCCATATACACTAAATTCGATAATGGTGTAGATCGCGAAAAGGTCAGAAGGCTCCTCAACAGGAGGCAGGGATTCAAGAGTCTCACATTTCTTTGTTTTCGTCTTTTTGCATCGCTAGCATGTAACAGCATGCCTAATGTAGGTGGCAACATCGGTTACCGTATCCGGCCAATAATATTGCGGTGAAAAGACTGATAGCGCTTTCTTCATTCCAACATGCCCAAAATTTTTATATGCCTTCTTAAGAATGGTTAGTGTCGTTCATAGGGCGCATATTTTCCTTAGTCATTTTCTTTTTTACGATGACTACGTTCTGATTAATACGTTCCTTTTTAGGGGCGAAGCTCCTTAGGGCGTGGGCTGTGCGTCCCCTGTAGCCTGTATGTAGCCACCTCTAGTTTAGTTCTTGCAGTGTTCACTAGATGGCGGTACCGTCTTCTGTACGTTTCTTCGATGGAGTGGTAGAGGTCGGACGTGTTTTTGGAGAGCTCCGGAATGACAGCTACAGATAAGTGTTTTTGCATGTTTCCAGCTTGCCTCTATATGTAGCGTTATGAGAACGTAAGGCGCTAGCGTAAAGCTTGATTAGGTCTAGTACGGTGTACGTTTTTTTTATTAGTATTTTGTACTGTGTCTTTTTTTCTCCAGCCACCACGTGGCTGAAGCCTGCGCGTAGACCGACCACGTGCATGCGCAGGTGCTGTGAAGTGTAGCGTATTTATTTATTATTGTGGTTCTTTTTGGCTTAGACCAGTGTATTTTAGTACAGTTTTCTAACACGTGGGCATCGGTAAACTGAGCTAGCCATGGTCAAAAAGACCGTAAAGTGTTCAGAGTGCGGGGTAGGGTGGAAGGTGGAAATTAGTGCGGAGGAGAAAGCAGAAGATGACGCCAAGTGTAGACAGTGCGAGTTCGAGGAGAAAATGAAAAATATGATGGCGGTCCAGAGTGGGCTCATGGAGAAAATCGCAGAGCTGGAGAATGCATTGGCGAAGGAGCGAGAGAAAACGTCAGCCATGGAAGAAAGGCTCCGGGCAGCCGAGAAGGGCCTATCGAAGGTCGTGAAAGGGAACGAAGACGCAGGTGACGGCGGAAGCATTATGGCGACGACCCCCCGTGCGGGAGAGATGAAGGAAACAGGCATGACAAAGGCAGATACATTGGCCACAGGGCCCAGCTACCGGGAAGTAGTTTTGAGGGAGGGAGGGAGCAAACCAGCAGCCGTGACTCACGCTAGTCACCTAGTCAGCAGCCAGGTGCAGGTTTCAGAAGGAATGTCTGAACAGGTCATCATCGCCGGTGACTCAAATTTAGTCCGATGCGCAGCGGCAATCAAAGAAAGGGTGAAAGGCGACAAGAGAGTTGCGATAGGGACGTTCCCAGGACAAACGCTGGGGACAGTAATGAGTCAAGCGGGTGAACAACTCGCAGCTAAAGCTAACAATCGTAACCTCGTTGTAATTGCGGGAGGGTTAAATGACGTCCTGAAAAAGGAATCGTCAGGACTAGCGACGACCTTGGCTAAAGGGGTGGATGACATGCGCACCGTGTCCCCCCAGGTGCAAATTGTAGTATGCACAGTACCGGAAGTACCAGTACGCAACGTCAACCTGCAAAGAGCGGTTGTCGACGCAAACAAAGAGATATGGCGAATTAGTCGAGAGAAGGGTTTCGAGGTAGTGGATTTAAACAGGGAAGTGCACAGGTGGGGTGGATTCCAAAGAGACAAGATTCATTTCGATAAGAGGCTTGGACACGAGGTGGGCTGGCGACTGGCAGGACGCGCAGTAGCTTTTTTGGGGGGCTCACGGGCCCTTCGGAGTCCGGGGTAGCTCGTAACAGGGAAAACAACCAGGAGGACGCTTTGACAGGTAGAATTGCGAAAAACCAGAAAAAAGGTAAAAGAAAAAGGAAAAAGGCGCGTGTTGCAATTAGTTACATAAACATGCAGGGTGGCAGAAAGAAGGCGAAATGGTTAGAGATTGAGGAGCAGTTAAACAAAGAACAGATAGGCGTGTATGCGGTTACAGAAACACACCTTAGAGACTTGGAAGAGCCACCACATATTAAAAATTATGTTTGGGAAGGGTGTAACAGGACCATATCGGAAAGGAAAGGTGGGGGTGTAGGAATGCTAATTCACCGCGGAGCCAAATGGGTTAGAGTGAAACAGACGTGTTCAGAGCACCTCTGGGTTCTGGGCACAGTAGGTGGAAAGGAAACGTGGCTAGGGGTAGCCTACTTGTGGACGGGGAATAACTGCAGAGAAAAGAATCAGGAGATAGTGAATTGCATGAGTGCGGATATTAAGGAATTTGGTAATGGGGCCGAAATCATCCTTCTAGGGGACATGAATGCCCACATACATGACCTTGACGGATATTCAGACACCAATGGGAAGTTATTACTAGATCTTTGCGAGCAACATAGTCTGGAGATAGTTAACACGGGGCCTAAATGTGACGGCCAGATCACATGGGAAGTCGGAAACAAGCAATCAAGTATTGATTATTGTCTCATGACTGAAGGAATTTACCACAAACTGACAGAAATGAGGATAGACGAGGAAGGCATTAACAGCTTGGGTAGTGATCATAAACGAATAACATTACAAATGGGATACGAAACTGAAAATATGAGCATGGAATCAAAGTCTGGCAGCTCGTATTTAAATGACAAACAAATAATAAATATAGCCGCAAGAGTCGAGGAAGAAGTAGGCGAAATACCAGGCAAGGACTGGGAGTATAGTGAGCTGTTACATCTAATGACGAAGGAGATAGGGAAAGAGAAGAAAACTGTTTGCTGGAAAGGAAAAAGGAAGCCAAAAAGTTGGTGGAACAAGGAAATCCGGGAGGCGATCGAGAAGCGACGCGAAGCATC